ATATTTAAATATTTTGAGGAATACACTTTGCTTTCCTACCGAGTATTAAATGAAAGAACTGATACTACTCTCGTGTCTGTACAGTAAATATGGAGCTGAAGCCAGCAGCTGGCTAGCTTAGTTTAGCGCAAATACTGGAGACAAGAGTAAATAGTTTGCATGGCTCCGTCCAAAGGTAACAAAATCCACCTGACAGCACCTCTAAAGCTCCCTGATTAACGCATTATATGTAGTTTGTGTCAACCATACAAAGACAAGAGCAATTTGCTATTAAACAGGGGGTCGGTAACTTACTAGTTGACTGGTTGCCTGGCAACTGCCAAGAAATAGTCTGGGACATAACGCCCTGTAAAACCACAGTGTTACATTTTTACACTTTAATGTATGGATTAAACGGCAACTACATCAATAGATGCCTAAATCCTACACACTGGTCCTTTAAACTAGTGTCACTCAAATAGGGGTACTTTGGAGTACTCTAGGGGTACGGGACATTTAAAAAAAACAATATTACAAAAAATATCAGTTATTCATGTTCATTCAATGTAAGTTTAATAAACCCATTCATATTTAATATTCTATATCTATAAATTTAGCAATGGATTCTAAACATTTGAGAGGAAGCATTTGAGTTTTTTCTTAATTAATCAGGCACTGGCGGTGTTTGGTTGAAGAAATATTAATAAAAAAATTGGGGAGGTGCTGCTTTAAACGAGCAAGATGTGATGTTTTTATTCGTGAGCCTTTAGAGGGGCTGTTAGCTGTTACCTTTGGACTCAGCGAGGCTAGCCGCTTTAACCCCTTTTTTCCATTACGCATGCTAAGCTAAGCTAAGCTGAACTAACCAGCTGCTACAGTAAAGACAGTGTGTTTGCCAAAATGTAAAACTTATCCTTTAAATGTAAGGTACAAATTAATTGGGTATCAAAATATACCCACAACATATAACAAAATAATACCAAACAGGAGTGAAGATAATTGGTGAACTATTAAGAATTAAAGTCCTCCTGTGCTGTGGCTCATTGTCACAGCCATAAAAAGTCTTGATTACTGTATTGCCATAAATTCCAGCTCATGTTGGCAACGACCAAAGCGGAAATGCTTCAGTTAATTCAGGCCACGTAGGTGAGATACTCGTTACACCGTACTTAATACCTCCCAATCATCTTTTCTGAACCTCATTTTTCAGTAAGAACGCTGTGCTCGATTTTCGCTGGTCTTTTGTTGTGTTGGATGAGAAATGGAGGTGGGGGTGGTGGGGATAGATAAAGGGCTCTTTTGTTTTATAGGATGTCTTTGGCTGAGTACACATTTGGCTCAGAGTGGAGTTTCAGCTCATTATAGTGAACGACATGTGAACACGTGTTGTTAATACCCAGATGAAGTTCTGAATAATTAATTCACAGTATGAAAATGCTTTAAAATATTATTTTTCAGCAATAAATGTAACTGAACGATATGTTAACCTTTGCTCAGGGAACACTTGTGATTGTACTTTAGATTTTCGTTTAGTTTTAGGGCATTGTACATTAGAATCAGCATTAAAATCTATATATTTCTACATCTTAATGTAACAATATAGCCAAAATCTGTCAAGTTTAGCTTTCTCTATGATATCAAAACATTCTATTTAAATGTTTAAATCAGAGCTCTAAAGGTAATAATCACAGAGTTAAACCTTGCTATGGCCACAGGTTATTTAAGTGGCTGAGTAGGTTATATGTGAGATAAAGCAGGTGATAGAAAAAAGGGTGTCACGCTTACTCTCTGCTGCATATGAGCTGAAGAGCATCGACATGTCCGTGGAAAGCAGCCAGTAAGGTGGGAGTCATGCCATCCTCATCTGCAATGTTCAGGTCCCTCCTCGTGGCCTCCTTCAACAGGTCCAAGTATCCATCAGTCGCTGCTTTGTGGTACCTAGACATCTCTCAAAAGAACAGAAAAGGTTGAAACAAATCTGTCACTTTCTTTCACTCTTCTCACCCTCCAACTCCCTTCAGATGCACACAGACTGAGGCGACTGAGCAAACAATGTGATCACTGGGCGTCAACATATCAGCAGCTCAGAGCCATAAAACAAAAGCAAAGTCCAGTCCACTGCTGTCAGCTGCACAATCTCCTCAAACACCATCACTGCTCGAGATCATTATTTAACTTCATTAAGTGTGGTCACAGCAGTGTTATAGGTACAATTGAGCCACTTACTGCTGTTTTTATTTAGTACTTTTTTAATGTTTACTCTACTGCATTAAAAAGAAATACTGTACTTACATTCACTACATTCATTTTACAGCCGTAGTTACTATTTATTTTACAGATTAAGATTTTACCTACAATAAATCCTTGTAAAATATGAGGATTTTTATAGATTAACTAGTAAAAGTTAAAATTACCTATACAACAACAATTTTACTGTTAAATATATTTTGAGAAGCTGGTGAAATCATGAAAGTTTGGTTCAAGTTGGTCTTTTTACATTGAAAAAAAGTCAAAACAAAATAAAAGTTGCTGATCACTTTTTTGATAATTGATTAATCAATGTTTAAGGTCCAGCTTGTTGGGTAGTTTCATAAAAGTTCTTTGGATGTGCTTTTTCTTGTTTCTTTGTCATTTATTTTATTTATTGTACAATTATTTTATATAGTACACCGTAGTTGCAACAGTTATAATGTAATGTATACTATATAGTTTATGTATTGAGTCAATTAAGAAGAACTATCTTCTAAAAAAAAAAAGAAAGTATGTAATATAATCTAATTAGGGACCGAGCCAGCAAC